GGTGTATTGAAGCCCAGCTGTTTCAGTTTGCCTATGAGATGCTGTGGGATGATGTTGTTGAAAGCTGAACTGAAGTCCAACAGCATCCGCACGTGGGTGTTCTTCTCTTCCAGGTGTGCCAGGCTCAGGTGGAGAGCAGCAGAGATGGCGTCCTCAGTGGAGCGGTTCCGTCGATAGGCAAACTGGAACGGGTTGAATGTAGGGGGGGGGACTGGAGACTATGTGTTCTTTAACCAGCCTTTCCAAGCACTTTATCATGATGGGAGTCAGTGTGACAGCGGTAAATTATTGCATTTTGACTAAACTGATAGGGGGCCCAGGTAAACAGCCTGTTAAATAATGTCAGATTTCTAAAACAGAGCTGGTAAGAAATTTTAAAATCTCTCTCTTCTGTGAGAATATATCTATAATAATTTCTACCAAAATTGACTTTAGGAAACTCTATTAGATCAAGTCCCTGATCCTGATGGTTTGACATAAATGGGTATCAGATTCAGTGATGATGCCCACCAGAGGAGAGGAAGAGGGTGAAGGACGAGAAGGCGGAGAAGGGGAGGAGTTTCCTCCTGCCTGTTGTACAGCTAGCTCCGCCTCATACAGGAAGTAGTTCAGTGAAGGCAGGAAGTAACCAGGAGCAGGATCAGAACAGCGCCGGCCGATCATGTTGGGTAAACAGTGACACTGCCCGTCCTCTGAAGAACACCTGAGGAGACCCATAGAACATCTATCAACTACTTTTTACTAACTTACTTATTACTAATGTTTAATAATAAAACATTAGTAATTATTTACTTGTTAGTATTTAAGTATTATATACATATACCGAATAATATTCTGGACATTTAAGTTTAATTGTTTGAAACCCCTAATTAAAAACTGGTCATTTATATAAATAAGAAATATTACACTTCTGTTCACTGTGGGAGAAAAAAAATATCTCTCTGATGTTTTTATAGTCAGCTTTTTTTCTTTCTGTATGAATTATGTAGATCCAGGATGCAACCAGTGACTCTGAATTTAATTTGAATAGAATGCAGGAAGGTTGTTATTTCTCCATAAGGTTGAGCATATAAAGTCAAATAAAATCCTACATGTTGCTGTGAGCTCCACCGACATCACAATCACAGGGTGAACATCTGAACATGGAATTTCCCAAACCCCAGAAACCTGCCTGCAAACAAGACCCACAAGCAGAAGATCTGTTTCACCATCATTCAGGAACAATTGAACTTTATCTAACACTTATAGAGTGAACTATAACCTACCACACACTGATCACACAGGGGCCCAGTAGCCATTGGCTCACATTTACAGCTTCCTGTCAGCTGGTCACATGGTCCAACACTTCCCAAACGGTGGCATTTACATTCTGCAAATAGATTAAAGCTGCACAGAAAGGCCATAAAGAGCACTGTCTTGATTCTTCCAACTATTTTTTTTTATTTCTTTAAAAAAAAGTGGCTAATTAACTATTTGAGCCTCTATTCTACTATAACCTGCCTTAGAAGTTTCACTCACACTAAAACCTTGTCATTAAACAAAAATGTTCTTATGGTCTCAGATAAAAGCTATAGATACTGTAATATTGGGTCCCTACTTTTCCTGTTAGATATTCATTATTTTATTTTATTTAATTTATTTTTTTGATGAATTGATGCAGTCAATCACTGTATTCTCTTGCAAATGCCTCAACATGCTGTATTGATTAAAGGAAGTAGGCGAGTTTGGATCCCATCTTTGACAGATCCCAGTTTTTCATGTTAGTGTTAAATCTTTCTCCATGAGTTAGTTCAGGTGTTTTCTGTAGTTCAGGGCTCAGTAGTTGGGTTAATTACTTTTTCATCCAATTCTTCAATTGAGCTTCAATTCAGCTTTTTTATAAAGTTTTGAACTGCCTTTTTGTATATCTGAAAGGTCAGGGTGTCACCCTCATGTACTGTCACCATTAGCTGAGCTATTGCTGCCAATAATGTCCTTCTTTTTTTAGATGAGGCACTTTGCGCTATCTTTTTACGTTTACATAAAACAAATAACTTGGCTTTCTTAGTACTCCTTTAAAAATTGGAATTACAATGTTATTTTGACAGATTGTTTTCTATAATGAATATAAAAATGAAACGTCATTGAATCTAAATATGTGCGTATAGGTGGATTCATATGAATTTGTGTCTACAAATCTGAGATCTTTGTCAATTTCAGGTAAAAAAAACAACAAAACAAACTGATATTATTATTTAATTTGACCCTGTTTCAAAGGTAAAGCAAGGCTAATAAGTCTGCTGGTACCGTCACATCCAGTTGGGTTTTCCTGTCTCAGATTGAAGAAGCCATGTTTGCAGCGATCGCAATGTGGACCCTCCACGTTTTCCTTACAGAAACAGCGACCGCTTGAAGCATCACACAGACCTCCGTTGAGAGAGCCGGCAGGGTCACAGTCACACGCTGAAACAAGATCATTTCTCCATGATGCTGAGATGGGGGACACATCCTAACATGTTGCTGCTGAGAGCTACAGAAACATCAATACATTTTGGACCTGCTAGATATCTTTGAATCCGAACTCAAACCAGACATAACCATTATGGTTTGATTAATTTATAAGGGGCTTATTTAGATAGGAAGCATCATAAGAATTTAATCTGGTATGACCAGAAAAACTTAGGACGTGTTTTGAAGGTCACCATAAGACAAAAGTTAAAATCTCAAAATTTTCATGTAAGAGGAGTCTCCCAGCGACAGACTAAGACTGATAGCTATAAACTCATAGTATTATGCATTTGTTAGATGCATCCCTTTTATAAAGCACGCAATTCAAATAAATACCTTGGTAAATGACCTCTGCTGAGCTAAATGACTCACTGATGAGGGAATTGTGTGTTTAAGGTTTCATATCATATTGCTACTCAACTAATGAGTCAATTTTGACTCATAATGTCTGATTAAATTTTTTCAATGATTTAATCAAACACAGAGATAGATGTGAAACTTGGAATTTTAAAGTAATAAAATAAATTGCATATACAAATAAAAATAGTATTTGAAAAGAAACAAATTGGGCTAAAGAAACACTTTACCTAATCAATTTTAAAAAATTAGAATTACCAATCTTAGCAGTAGGTTATGTATATATATATAGATATATGAATTTTTTGAAGAGTTTCAGTCTGGCTTTAGAGCTCATCACAGCACTGAAACAGCACTGGTCAAAGTCACTAATTATTTTCTCATGGCCTCAGATGATGGACTTATATCTGTACTTGTCCTGTTAGATATCAATTCAATTTCAATTTCAATTCAGTTTATTTATATAGCGCCAAAGTCACAAAACATGTCATCTCAAGGCACTTTACAGTTCAACTAGATCATACAGTCAAATTGATACAAAGTTTTCTATCTAAGGAAAACCAGTTGATTGCATTGAATCATTAACTCAAATACAATCCTTCACACTAAGCATGCTTGTAGAGACAGTGGAGAGGAAAAACTCCCTTTTAACAGGAAGAAACCTCCAGCAGAACCAGGCAAATGCAGTAAATCAGTGCTGCATTTGATACAGTTGACCATAATATTCTTCTAGAAAGACTTGAATGTTTTTTTTATGAATTAAAGGAACAGCACTAGACTGGTTTATATCATATCTATCTGATAGATTTCAGTTTGTTCACGTTAATGACAAATCTACCACATGCTCAAAGGTTACCTGTGGAGTACTACAGGGATTAGTGCTAGGACCAATTATATATATATATATATATATATGCTCCCAATTGGTAGAATTATTAGACAGCATGGGATTAATTTTCACTGTTATGCTGATGATACCCAGCTATATCTGTCTATTAATCCAGATGAAGCGAACCCATTACATAAATTACAGGCATGTCTTGAAGACATAAAAACCTGGATGACTCTTAACTTTCTCCCTCTGAATGCAGACAAAACAGAAGTTATAGTCTTTGGACCAGAGTCTTTGAAAAATAAGCTGATTAGTCAGTCACTTCATTTGGATGGGATTAAACTGATTTCAGATAATAAAGTAAAAAATCTTGATGTTATTTTTGATCAGAACCTTTCATTTAAATCCCATATCAAAGAGGTTTCTAAAATTTCCTTCTTTCATTTGCGGAATATTGCAAAAATTAGAAATATTCTGTCCAGGGGTGATGCTGAGAACCTAAACCATGTATTTATTACATCAAGGCTGGACTATTGTAATCCTTTCCTATCAGAAAGTCAAAAAAAAATGTAGTTAAAAGCCTTCAGCGGATCCAAAATGCTGCAGCCAGAGTTCTGATGAAAATTAAAAAGAGAGATCCCGGCTTCTCTTCATTGGCTTCCTGTTAAATCCAGAATAGAATTTAAAATCCTCCTTCTCAAATATAAAGACTTAAATGGCCAAGCTCCATCTTATATCAGAGATCTGATTGCTCCGTATGTTCCTAACAGAGCACTTCACTCTCAATCTGCAGGTTTACTAGTGGTTCCTAGAAATTCTAAAAATAGAATGGGAGGCAGATCTTTTAGTTATCAGGCTCCTCTCCTGTGGAACCAACAACCAGTTTCTGTCCGTGTGGCAGATACCCTGTCTACTTTTAAGAGTAGGCTTAAAACTTTCCTTTTTTGATGAAACTTATAGCTGAGCTACAGTTATGCTGCTATAGACTGAGACTTCTGGAGGATATAGGGACCCCCTTTTCATCATTCCTCTTCATTCTATCTTTATTCTCCCACTCTGTAGAATCTGTTAGTTCAATCTCTCACGTTATGCTCTCTCTGCTTTTTCTCATAGGTTCACCTCGTCTGTTCCTGTTGGCTGTAATAATAATAATAATACATTTTATTTAAAAAGGCACCTTTCTGGACAGTCAAGGTCACCGTACAAAAACATAAAAAGTGTCAGAAAAAATTAAAATAATAATTATAAAGACATTTAAAAACATAAAAAAAAAAAAAAATACAGAGGCTGTGACAGTGAAATTGATATTTTTGACACCATCCTGGAGACAAAAAATATCAGCTGTGCTGCTGCCATCAACTCCTTTGTTTATCGATCAATTTGACTGTATGGTCTGGTGAACTGTAAAGTGCCTTGAGATTACATGTTTTGTGAATTGGCGCTATATAAATAAACTGAATTGAAATGAATATATGCACTAGGGAAGGATGAAGAGCTTCCAGACGAATTCTACCGTTGACGTTTTTTTTTGTTGTTTTTTTAATAATAACAAATAGCCCAGGTTACTTATGGGGAATAGACCATAAACTCAAGTAAATGTAGCAATACTCTTAAAAATAGTACTTGACAAATATTTAAAGTACTGTTTTCCCTAATGTTTACTCAAATAAATCTAAATACCCAAATGTAACTAGTTACTTCCCAACTCTGGATACGGATATGATAAGTGTTTAGATGCTCCTACAGCAAGTCTAAGCTGCAGGCCAGTAGCTTTCAGAGACTGGGCTGAAGTATTCCTGCTGTAAATTGTTCCCTCTTTCAACATTTCTTTAAGGAATTGATGAATTATGTTTCCTTAGCACATCGTAAGTCATTCATTTGATACAGGTCTAAGGTAGAAGGGTAAAATTTAAAGAGAGAAAAGAGAGAACAAGAAAGATCCTCACAGCCTAAAAAGGTATGTTTTTACCAATCTTTAAAGAGGAGGTACAGCAGCTTTAATTGGTACTGAATTCAAAACTTTTCCAACATATAGATAAGAAGCTGGTCAATATTTTAAAGGACCCAGCAATAAGATTCAACCTCAGCACCTGGTCTAATGCTGCTCTGTAAAAACAGTATCAACAAGTTGAATATGATGAAGCATACGTATGCAGGCTTGAGGGTCCTCCAGTGCCCTCTGTGGGTCCTGATACATGAAAGGCCGACAGTGTTCACATTGAGGCCCCGTTCTGTCATGGCGGCAGTCATCACAAACGCCACCACTCACTCCTCTGGTTGCGTCATAGCGAGCAGCATCAAAGTGACATGAGTCTGAGTGACCGTGGCAGTTACACCCTAAGAGAGAAATAGAGACCTGAAGCAAGGCCAAAAAACTGTCTGACATATCAAGCGTTTAAAAAGTAGAGGTTTCATATTAGCATCATGTTTTAGAAGCACAAAAAGTTATAATATCTAATCAAAAATAAGCAAATGATATCTAATCCATATGTGTGCATATAAAATAGAACTGATTGAAAACTACTCCTGCAGATGCTGTCTGTGTTTTCTCCTCCAGGCCTCCAGGGGGAGTCATTGTAGAGGGACTGGCATCGCTCACAATTCTCTCCAGCTGTGTTGTGTTGACAAACACATCGACCATGAATCTGAAGAAAGAAAAACATCTTTACCTGCAGAACTCACCTTAACAACAAAGCTGCAGACAAATGATCTGGTTTCCTGTAACAGCCTCCTGTCATTCTTTGTGGGTTATTCCAAAAAAGGAAAAAAACAATCCACTTGACCCTCGGCCGTTTTCAAAGAACCGTGGTGAAGAAGGCGGGCTTAAAATGACTGGCTGAAACCAGAGCTCACCACAAATATACGCTTGAAAGTGTGCATGCGCAGAAAAAAGATAGCTAATTGGGGACGAGCCCATAGGACAGCCTTACGTTAACATATCACCACATGACTGATAATAAGAAGGACCACTTATTTTGATGATCCATCTTGAAAAAGAATATCCTCCGCTATACCTTTAAGGTTGAAATAAATCTTTTAGACTATCTACAGCATCTAGGCCTCTGGAGAGACTCCAGCTGCTTCTTAACAGTACAAATAGCAAGGACACCTAAGCTAAAGCAAAAGTGCTTCAGCTGTTGCCATCATAAGGGCTGTCTGAATAGTGTATGCCGTAACAAAAGAGTCAGGAAGAGGATGTAGCAAGCTTTTTATCACTAATTATTTGAGAATAGGGACTTCCCTAAGTTCTGATCCACTGCATATGAAGCCACATTGTCAACAAACCTTTTCAACAGTTTTAAGACATTTGTGTTATTCCTAAAGAACATGAAATCATCTTGAGCTGAATATTTCCAAAGCCAAAGATTTCCTTCGAAACCAGCTCTGTTTTCCTTTTTAGCCAGTCTTTAGCAAATCTGGAAAACATTGGGAGCAACAATAATCTGTTGGATACTTAAAAGGCATTCAAGGGTAACTGCTGGTTTTTATCAAATCCATTTGCCTTGAAATGCACAATTAAAGTTTGGGAGCTGAATTCAGTTCTATTGTCTCAGTGTCTTGTTTGATGAATAAATTTCAACAAACTTTCCTCTGACAGATTACTAAATATATCTGCAATGATGCTTCATCAGTCTAAGGTTTAGATGAAAAATTCCATTTTGTTGTCTACATAAATGCCTCTATATGCTAAGAATTTTGAAAAAATTCCTTATTTGTAAGCCATCAATCAAGACTGAATACAAACTTGAATAGTTCATAGTTTCACTCATGTGATAGCCATTTGAGATTTGCAACAATAACTTAAAACTGAAGATAAAATAATTTAATCTAAAAGCTTTTGTGTAGAATCACTGTGTTGTACCATGCCAGGCTCGGTGAAGACATCCCCACGTCCTCCATCCACCGGGACACACCGGCTGGCGTGTCCATTACAGAAGCAGCTTCCCTGAACCACCATGCTGGAAAGTGAATAGTAATACTTCTCCTGAGGATTCCTTCGTCTGCGAGCCAGCAGAGTGTCACCAAGCGTGTAGAGATGAGTGAAATTCACCCGGATATTTGTAACTGTGATCAGTTCTGGGGATTAAAAAATATTATTGTTAGGTTATTATTATTAAATTAGTATTTTTTTTATTAGATTGCCTAAAATAAAGTTACTCATTAATTCATTCATTCATTAATTCATTCATACACATATATTTTGTTTCCTATATAAATCAGAATATGTTTGATTAGGCTGCTTTGCCAAAAATTAAAAAGAACATAAAAACATACTTATAAAATAGAATAAATACAAAGCCAACATATATAAATAAATATATGTTGATGAAGAAGTGTTTTTTTTTATTGATCTCATGGAATATTTTTATCTAAAATGCTGTAAATTTATTAGCTGTAAGTTGAAAATAAACAAAGCAAACAGAAACAAAGGCTTTAAAAATTAGTCTGCATGTAATAAATGTATCTAATGTGTTTTACCTAGTGACATAACTTGCTGAAAAAATAACTTTTAATTATAATTGTAATAAACTCAATATTACTGGATGTACTAAAGCTTTTATGATTCTCTCTTACCTTGAATTTTTGGATCATACGGGTTTTCTATTTCAAAGACAGGATCTAGGGCCTTTAGTACCACCTGGTGGACAAACATAGTGAAGCACAGATTTATGGAAACTGATATTTACTTGTCTACATACATATTGAAAACAAAGGCAGTTATTATTTCTCACTCAGACATTTGCCTGCATGATGTTTGGTAGTATCAGAAAAATGATTTCCATTAGCTATCTGCAAGAATAATTAATGTGTACTTATTCATTGTATTGAGGGAAAAAGAAGCTTGCAAGCCAAAGAACACCATCTCGGGCTCTCAGATTAACTTTCTTGCTCCTAGCATTAGTGTACGATCTGGGTGGTGACGGAGAACTTTCTCAATTAGATGGATTTCTTCTCATATAGTTAAGAGGTTGTACCTGCATGTTGAGATATCTGCATGTGTTCCATGACCCAATGAAATCAGTTTACCTACTGAGTGTGTTTAAAGCAGTTCTAGGTATTTTTTGTAGATCATTGGCTCTCCCTACAGGTTTTTCTGATAATATCACTGTCGTAAACACTGACTGCCCTTGCAATGACCTGCATCCTACAGTTAGAGTGCTGTCAATCTTCAAGTGCCTGGAAGATGCAAGTGCAGTAATAATTAAATACTTGAAGGGGTGACTAATATTGTACAATATCAAATCTATATGTTTACAGTAGTTTTTTTTTTTTTTGCTGCAAATAGTTACTTTTATAAAATATTGTTAAGTGAAAGTCTGCCTCTTGACTAAGTAGCTTTTAAATTCCTCTTATAAGATTATTCAGCCTGTTGTGTTTTATAGAGGCACACTAAAAATTCACGTCATAACAGTTACAGTAATCAATCTGATGGCAACATTCCCAGGTCTGAATAGATTTTGCAACCTGTTTAAGGTCTTGCCACGGATTAAAGGCTTTACTTAATTTCACTCTTGTTCCAGCTCTGTCCTGATCTGATCCAGTTTTACCTTCCTTTTTTCTTCAGAAAAAGGTTTAATTTGTCTATTCTGCTGGCTCCGCCATGGCATGAACCTCCAAAATCCAAGAATGTGCTGCGATCACCTGTGAGTAGCACAGCAAGGAACATGTGGCTATTGATGCCAGTGGGCTGTCGGGCTGCAATAATGCTGTTCATCCTACTGCAAGGGGAAGAACATCACGTCTGTGGCATAAAAGCTGCAAGGGTAGTTTTCTTACCAGAGACAGTAGGTGGAGATGGCAGTCCTCTCAATTATCTAATATACTTAGATTACAATCACAGAGGGTTTTTCTTTAAATCAGGTACATACCTCTCCACCTGTGGATGGTTCGGGTCCAGAGTATCTGCTGTCACAGAACACGTCATCAATAAATCTTGCAGATCCAGCTGGAACTGAAGGGAAATGAATGGAACAATCGTCTGCAAAGTAGCGAAAGGTTTTCCAGCTTTTTCCGAAGTCCTTGGAGCGCTCCACTAACATTGCTGTAGGCCTGAAAGTCTGCATAAGGATAAAGGGGAGATATTCACATTTTATTACACAAATCTGCCTTGGCAAGAGTGTCAGCTGTTCATGCAGGGCGCAGGACCAAGCCCCGTTAATCTTGAAAATGGGACGTGTCTGCTACTTAGGAGCTTCATCATGTTGATCAGAGGGTGGGTTTGGGGTTTCATGTGTCATGTCTGGTTTACTGTAATATATAAACTCCAGATTTTTTGGGTGACAGTAATTTAGTGGGAAGATTAATCTCTCACTAAGTTTCAGTAAAAAATTTCAGCCTCATCCTGTCACATGTCAATGTTCCCCTTAGCATGGCACTTAAGAGTTGTTTGAATGTTGCATAAATGTGTACAGCCATGGGAGAATATGGCTCTAGCGTATTGCTTACATTGCAAGAAAAATGCTGCAAAAGCTCAGCCCAATTACCATTTAAATCTGACTCATGAGAAATTTTGATTAGACGCTGGACAGTGGAGCTACTCCAGAGATTGGCTATAAGGACGTCAGTTCAAATCTGTAATGGATCTCGGCTACCCTGGGTACTCCAATCCCAAACACCTGCAATAGTGGCTCCTGTGATTTTTATCTAGCTGCTAAAGGGGGGCTAAGCATTGAACTTGAATCATTCTTTGTTCCTAAATTTTCAATGCACATAGATGCACACAGAAACAGAGGTGCGCATACTGCTCTCAAATCTGCTAGTCAACAATAAGGTGGATAATAAATATATGGCATTCTGCTATTCAATTAAAACATGTAAAAACATAAAAACACGTGTATAGAGTATTTCATAAACTGTAAGATTAGTTAGATTCGTTTTTAAGTGTATTTTGTTATGTTAAGAAAAATAGAAAAAGTAAAAGAATGTTATTTCAAGGCAGCACTTAGAAACAGCAATTCCTGCCTTAATTTCTTCACGGCTGGATTACTGTAAATCCCGTCATTTAGCAGTCAGCTAGTCCCTACATGTATGTCTGCAGCTGGTGGAAAATGCTGCTGCTCGTCTTTTATACAGGTACAGAAAAAAGAAAGCACATTGCCCCAGTCTTGGCTTCTCTTAATTGGCTGCCCATATATTTTTGTTTCTCATTTTAAAATCCCTCTCTATGTCTTCAAGGTTTTAAACAACCATGACCCCCCCCCTTACATAACAGAGCTCGCCCGCAGTTATGCTATGGATCAAACTGCTTCCAGGTCAGACACATGTTGGCCTTCTCTCTATTTAACTATAATCTCTAAGTGCTGCCTTTAGCTACACTCATTCTGGAAAATTGTAGAATTACTGGAGAGGTTTGCACAAAAGAGGAGTCTTGCAGGAAGAGGGCTGGGTAGCAGTAAATTCAGTCCAGATGCATTGTTTCCTCTGTGAAATTAAAATAAATATGAGTGTTTTTAATATTTTACCTTGAATGTGAGGACCAGGTGGCTGAATTGAAATATGGTCTCCAGATCTAACCGGATGCTGACCTGATGAACTCCTGCAAATAACAAAAAAACTGATCTGAGTGAAGTTGGACCTTCTGCCTTCTTTAAATCAAACAAAAAATACTGACAAACATTCATACAACATTTGTGCAGTTAAACCTTTTTTTTTTTTTTTTTTTAAGAAGTTGAAGTTCAGACCTTTTAACTTTTCATTAATAACTGAAAAACACAACCAGCACTGATTAAGATTTGTGCTACACAAATGTAGCCAAATTGACTGACACCCATTTTGTTTTGTTTTTGAAGAAGATGGGGGGGAGCTGGGTGACCTTTGGTGACCTCTGGAAAGTTTCATTAAGCTCTGTAAAATGGTAATTACATAAACAAAAGGTTTGGCTGCACAAAATGTAGCATGCAATTTGTATGTTTTCTATGTTACCATTCTCAGACTGCCACCACTTCATTCGACTCTCAAAGTCAAAGTTGGAGATGACATTTTCGATACGATGGCTCAAAGGGTTATCCTTGATACTAAACGGTAGTCTGGAGTCACATGTGAAACATTTCTGCTCCCCCTGATGGAAAAAAAAAAATCAGCAGTTAACTGATCAGTGGTGAACAGTTATGGTTTGTATTTAATGAATTCCCTCTCTTTAAGTGTCATTTAGGTGGAAAGTTTCATACCTGGTAAAATAACCAGAAGAAAAAACAAAAAGTTTTAAAAATGATGTTTCAGTTCATAAAGGGGGTGAAAATACAGCAGATCCTTTTTAATAAAAAAATTTGTTAAATTCTAAATAAACCAAATTCATTAGCTCAGTTTCACCAGTCCCATCTAGGCATTACTGTCCGACCTTCAATATTGGGAAATCCCTTAATTGAGACCAATGTACAACACAAAGTAGGCTAAAAGATCTGAAAGCAAATTATAGAACCAAAACACGGAAAAAAATTAGAAAGAAAGTCACTGATACTGTATCTACCAGCTTTGGAAGGATCAAAATGCCAGTTCAAGACTTTAGGAGAGGTGTGGGTGTTTCCAGTTCCTGAGGGCTGCAACTTTTAGATTTGCCTTTGGTTTAACACACCTGAATCAAGTAATTAGATGATTGAGTGGACTCTGGATGGATGGATCTAAAAGTTGTTGGATACTGGCCCTTAGGAACTGGAATTGCCCACCCCTGCTTTAGGACTGAATAAAACACAATGTAAATAATAATCTAAAAGCTGAAAAACACAAAACTGTGATGAAACATCCAAGGAGTGATGAGTCTACTAAAATTACTCCAGGTATGCATCAGTAATTCATTATGGAGTTCATGAAATAACCCACAACAATATTTTCGGGTCTTCAGACATTAATCTCCGCAGAAAATGTATGAGGTAATGATTTAAAAATATGAAATAAAGACTGGGCATAAATGGCCTGGCATGGGAGTTATACCAAGCCAGAACCACTACTACACAAAGGAACACAAAAGACTGCTTTACATTTGCAGAAAACATCTTAATGATTTCCAAAACTTCCCAACAGATATGTTCTATGATCAAATCATTGGGAATGTTAAAAAGATAAAGCTTTTGGAAATTGGGCAAAGCACAGTTGGCCAGAATTCTTCCAGTGGTGTGAAAGACAATTCTGCAAACTCTTGATAGTTCATGACTAAATTGAACTCAACACAGACACAAGTGGGTATTGTATAGAGATGGGGTTTACTTTTAAAAGGTTCAAATTGGTTATGATAATTATTTTTCCTTAGTAAATTAAAAATCAAAATGATTTGTGTGATATGAAATGTATCATCTAAAATAATTCAGTTTGAAAATCAAAAGCAAATAAATCTGTTGGGTGTAAAGTTAAAACGTTTAGAAAGTACCTTTTTACAGACAACTCAGATAGAGTCATATAAGTATTCACTCTCTCCTTACAGCTGCAGGCTGATTTATGCATGTTGTCAGCTCTGATTAACTTCAGAAACATTTTAGTAGAATGTAGGAGTGCACAGATACAGACAAGGTCAGGTTCAAGGTCTTGTTTTCACAGTAAAAATTCCTGGGAAAGAATTATAGCAAGGGTCATCTGACCCAAACTGAAGGTTGATGGACAATTGACCACGGAGTTATTGCTAGGTAATACATCTTGTAGACAAGTTGTATGGATAGTTTGTGCACCTTGTGTGGTGCAAGCACATGTTAAACTTGCAAGATTTAAAAAAGCAGACTGAGTGAAGACCATTGACATATTATTATTATTATTAGCGTTTTTTTTTTTTTATATACACTGCTAGGCTCATTCAGTATTTATAGTATTAAAAGGTGTATTTCCAAACTGTGCCATGACAGAAGAGGAGAAAGGAAAATACATTAATGAGGAGCGGAGTAGGAAAATTTCCTCCGGCTGAAAAGTGTCAGAATGTAAAATGACAGATCAAGACTTGTTTAGGTATGAAAGCCTGAGGAAAAGGGAAGAAAAATTAGTTCAGCAGACGTTTATTCCAATGCAAAAAAAACTGTAAAAGTTAACTCATCATATGATCTCATTAGAAACAAATGTTAGAACATGTTAACCCACATTAACATTTCCTCCTTAGTCACTAAAATGTTCTTAATCATGGTTTGTTTGATCCTCGCCTATCACCAATGTAGATGTCTCTGTCAGTTCAGATCCCTGTTTTTAATCCAATTACTCTTACTGGTGGTTTTTGTACAATGGTGGTTTCTAACCTCCAGGTATCCAACAATACAGTAGTTCTGGGGTCCATCAAGACCACAGGTGGATGAGGCTGAGAGCTGCGCTGCTCGACCCACCAACAGGTCACCAAGTTGAGGGTGACAGGACCTGCCTGGGCACTGGTCCTGGAAGTCCTGGAGTTTTACTGCTGGAAGATAAACTGCAGAGACAGATGAGACACTTTGAGTGAGCTGCTGTTTGTTCATGGAAAATTGAGAATATACATGCAGAAAATAAAATAGAATGATTGGAGGTATATATGGAAGAGTTTGGCAAACATATTCAACCACAAACAAATTATGAAGAAAGTGTGCTCTTCCTTCTCATCCTTCTACTATTACTACAGGAGGTACTCTGGCTCAGAAACTAGGCTACACAGCATAATATTAACTTAACAATATTAACTTCTTCTTATTAATACTTAGGTTCTAGTACAACACCCCTTTGTATCATCAGACCAAGGCGATCAGAATATTCTCCGGGAAAACTGGTGTAGAGGTACTTTAGTCTTTGTGATTCTCACCTTAAGAAATTTTGACTCGTTAGCTATAAAATTCTTTCCTTGTAGAAATCTAAAACATTTAGTGTTATCTGAACCAAACTCACCAAAAAGAAAGACAAGGATCATGTTGAGAAACCAAATCGTCCCTAGTAGATTGCAGTTTCTGGTGGGTTGTAGATGATTCTTATTCTTTTGGGAAAGAAACAGCAGGTTAAAACATAGAGGAAACACAGAAAGTGTCACAACATAACTTAATATCACAGTATTCTCCTTTAAATTGTCATTTAGTGTTATGTGCCCTCATTTAAAAAAACAGGAAACAAAGTTTTTGAACCAAAAAATGCACAATGAACCTACTTTAAGTGTCTCACAAGGCTTCACACCAGGACACACTCTATTCAGTCACTAGATTTAAACCTTCACACAATATTAAAATAGGACTCTATGCTGATGACACTATCATATACATGTGTTCCATATCATGACTCATTCTGTTCTGTCTTTGAATTTACACAAGACCTAATTTTTCCATTGATGTGAAAATACAATCATATGCTGATGACACCGTATTATGTGCACATTTTGAAAAGCCACAAACTGCTAGTATGCTACTGTATCTGCTATGGTGCAAGTGTCTGAATGCCTTCAATGTTCATGTTAACATCTTAAGGTATAAAAAACTGTATGCATGTTTAACTCTCACCAGCCAGAAGAAGATCAATAACATCAACCATAATGATGAATAAATAGAGACTGGATGTGAGCGAAAAGATTGGATGTGTTTGTGAAATGTTTTACTTCAATCTCTATTTGCTGTAAATTGCATCATTCATGTCTCTGCTGCATGTTTGACCATTTGTGGTACCATGAGCTGTGTGCTGCAGGTTTGTATCTGTCCACCACCCTTAATCTCCGTTTATGAAAACATAAACAAATTAACGTAACTTTATTCGGTTTGATCCTAGTCTCACTTCCCAGTCTGCAAAACCTTATGCACACGCAATATTTTCACCAATATTAAACTCTCATACAACCTGGTAAGAGACCACAGAATGTCATTTTTGCTGCCCTGATAGCTGACCTAATTGCTCACTTCGTTCACCTGCTGAACCCTCTCCCGTCACTGATTATAATTCAACTTACCCACCTGCCCCTGCTGGTTCATATACGGCTCAGACCAGCTATCAGGGCCAGATCATTGTTTGTGTTTGGGTTTGAGAGTTTAGCATTTTTCCATAGTTCATGTGTTTGTTCTCGGAGGCTAGTGGTTAGAGAGGATTGTTAGTGCTCTCTTGTTGTTTCCTGATCATGTCCTAGCTCTTGCCCGCTGAGCACGCCCTGTTCCTGTGTTGGTTCGGCGGGGGGAGCTAATTTAGGTTTACGTAGTTTTCCTGATGTCATGACTTGTTCCGCCTCTCAACTACTGAACCTGCCTGCCTCCTTTTGAGCATGTCTGCCTGAGCTCTCTGTTGGAATCATGGAGCCCTGAACCTGCCTGAGCTCTCTGTGGATTCCTGGAACCCTGGACCTGTCTGTTTCTGTTCAGACCGGAACCCCTGACCGGTTTGTGGACTCCTGGATCTCAGAACCATCTGTTTTGAGCTGTTTGTCTGTCCTGGATTGGACTTCTGACTGTTTACTGGGACTGCTTTATCGGGGATGCTCTGGGCAGTTCCCATAAAGTCTCTGCTTCATCGGGGATGCACTGGGCGGCTCCCACCGCATCTCGTTAGGAACTCCATCGGCTGGATCCTGCCTCGTTTGGAGAACATAGACTGAACTGTTAAACCAGGTAAGTGACTCACATGGATGATCACCTTTCATCAGATTATCATGGTCACATTACCTGTGTTTCTCCTTCAACCATAGTGCCAGTGAAGGGTGGTGCCCCGCCGCCCCCTGCCTCCCTGCTGCCATTGCAGATCTACAGCTCTGCATTCGTTTCTGTCTTAATGTTAATAAACGTTTTGAAACTTCCCACTGTCTATCACACCTGAATACTAGGTGCTACATTCTGGTTTCGTTACACAGAAAGAATGTTAAAACCCATGAAGTCTCTCTTTGAAAAGAGAAACATGTTTGCAAGAAAGCCTTTTCATGTAAAAAATTGCAGCACGCTTCATTAAAGCATTTGAAGTGCTTTCAGTTCTTCTAAATATATGTTTTTCTTGTTAATAAACTTATCAATAAGTAATAAACAAAAAAATAAAGAATATTAATTCTCATTACAAAAAGCTGCAAGAACTTTGAAGATTCCTGGTTTATAAGGAACTAGTATGCATATGGGATTTAAAGCATTTGTAGGAAATATAAAACAGTCTGAGAAGAAAATATGTACATAGAAATGCAGTATGTAGTATGTACATAAAGTGCCGCTAGTGCTTGTTCAGTCTTTGAAATAGGCTGATGGTCTGTTTGATTGAAATTTTTACACATTTCATGTCCACAGGGACGACAACATAATATAAATAAGCAGACAGTGTAAGATGGTGAGGTGATGAATCAGGTTTAGCTAGATGGTTGTATCTATAAGAGATACACAATCATTGAATCAATTACCAGCAACTAACTAACTAACTAACTAACTAACTAACTAACTAACTAACTAACTAACTAACTAACTAACTAACTAACTAACTAACTGTTAACTGTTATAAAAGTAAATTATGTTACCATGGCCGCGCTCTAAGGCAGTGGTGAAGAGCAGCTCCTCTCGACAATTTCACAAAATATGCCGCTTAAAACAATAAAAACTAGACATCAAACCCGCATCTACGATCTCCAAGGCCTGCTGGAGCTACGGTCATAAAATGTTTTAAATTTAGACTTTTTTGACCGTTGAAAAAGCTGCGGAGTGATATAGATGGATGTCAACAAAACAGCAGAAAATAACTGATGGAGGAAAAGATGCGAGAGACAGAGAAAGCCAGGCTGCAGAGGGGGGCTAACTGTGAAGCTAAAGAGAGATCCCCACAGACCGCCACTTCCATCAATTCTGCTTTCCAACGTCTGCTCGTTGGAAAACAAATTGGATAATCTCCAACTTGAACTCTCTTCAAAAAAGGAGATATGTATCTTCTGCACCATCATTCTGATGGGGTCTTGGCTGCATCAAGCAGTACCGGACGGTGCTGTTGGCCAGGGGGGAATGATGCTGTATCGCGCCGATAGAACCAAAGAGCTCTCCATGAATGGAGGCTCCTCTGAGACTGTTCCCAGCAAACTTCGGCATCTAGAGGGGAAGCACAGCCATCTGCAGGTGAAAATGAGGCGAGCACTCTAGATGTTTCCCTGCAAAATGCTGAAACATCCCCAGCCGGCTCCTCCCGGCCCCATCTGACTTCCACACTTTCTCCAGCATCGTCTGTCGCTGCTAAACCTGCCGATGGCACCACTGCTACTTCAACCACGGTAGCCTCTTCAACCCAGGGGGCTACCACCTTCACAGCATCATCATCGTCCTCTTCCCCCCTGAGCCAGGAGAAGCGAGTGCTTCAGGAGCTGGAGGCAGTAGTAGCAGCTCAACAACAACTGCTGCCAGGCAACGCATCCGAGTGGTAACGCACCACACCTCAACATACAAAGTGCTGAGGTTCTCTGTACTAATGTTTCCCCCAAAATCAAACACACACATGCTGACTCTAACCTTGATGCATATACACATTTTCCTCCTACACCACATTGCATGCAAACACACATGCACGCTCTTTTTCTTGCAGAGAAGCCCTGCTTTGTGTTGAATGTTGTGATTTTGATGTTTATGATGACTTGACGAAGTTGACATGTGCTATTTCAGCATTAGAGCAGAAATTTAAAAAACAATATTCAACATATGTTCAGTTTGACTCAGAGGCCTATGAAGCACTTCCAATGTTTGAGATGACTGTTTGCAATCAAATGATATCCTTCATGGTGGACTCAGGTGCAACTACTTCTGTTCTTAGGGTAACTGAATTCTCTGTTCCTTCAAAGCTTAGTTGAAACTATGTTTTTTCAATCTCTGCCTCTGGACAAATGACGAAGAAGCGATTTACGACACCTCTTGCATGCGTCTCCCCTGAGGGGTGCTCCTTTAAGCATAGTTTTCTGCTGTCTGAGCTGTGCCCTATTAATCTTCTTGGGAGAGATTTAATGTGTATCCTAGGCATAGGGTTAATTTCTTCTCCTGAGGGTGTGAAAATCTCTATGCAGCCTCAGACAGAGACAACAGCTATACAATTTGATCCACAAGCGCAAAATTACGCTTATGGGTGGAAAATGCAAAACTCTTCGCTCACACGGGATCTGCTAGAACAGGTTAGATCAGCTGTAAATGTCCTTCTGATTTCATGCAGGTTTCTGAATTCTTTTGTACAACATGAAACTCATGGTCCAGATAAGGGTTTTGAAGAGGCTTGGTTTCGTGTAACTTCTGAAAAACTAACCACTTCTGTGTTGTATTGGAACTAAATATAGCTGCTCTGGCATTAACACTTCTACCTCATCAGCTGAATTTTTTTCAACACATGTACGGCACTCCACACGTCCCACTGGCAAAACCCTCAATGGGTGAATGGGATGAGGTGGGTTATTTTGTTTCAAGTTGCTTGAAAGTTTCTGATTGGGCTGTGGTTCCACATTGTTCTACTATTATTACCGTATGTTTTCAGAAAGACTTTCTGCTTTTAAGAAATCTCTTGGTATTATAATTCATTGTCAGAGAATAGTTAATCTGACTCCAGAGCAAAACACACTCTGCTCATGTGATGTAGGTTTTCAATGTGACGTCACTTCTCATCCTCTGTTAAGTTCCTTCTGAACTTTGGGCGAAAGGTAAATATGATGTTGGCCTGATAAAAGGTTGCTCACCTGTTGTTACTCCGAAGAGTTACTACACACCCTGCATGAAACAATATCCCCTCAAACAGGAAGCAGTTAAAGGGTTTAAGCCTGTTTTTGAATTTTCTAAAACAGGGGATAATAATTCCTTGTGATAATCCCTCTGTGATGACACCTTTGTTTCCAGTAAAGAAAATCAGAGAGAAAGATAAACCTGTTGAGTGGAGATTTGTTCAGGATTTGCAAGCAGTCAACAGAACTATGACTACTAGAGCTCTAGTGGTTGCAAATCCGACCTCTGTCACAGATTCCCCCAGATGTTCAGTTCTTTTCTGTAGTAAATCTAGTGAATGCTTTTTTCAGTGTTCCTG